GATTGGAGACTTGGAGATTGTTGAGGTTGACACTCGGCTGCATCACAGTTGGACACCGGTTACATCTGGACTCGGTTATCTCCGACATTGGTGACTTTTGGTCCTCGACATTTTGATCTTGTTATATGACATTTTGGAGTACCATTTCGGAGACCTATCAGACTCTATCTTGTGACCTATCGGTGTGATCTACCTCCTACCTCCTTTGTCTCTCCTCCCACCTTTCATCTGTGTATGTGTGTACGGGATCTGGGTATCGTCTATGAATGACCCAGACCCCACCATCTCATGATTGTATGTGTGTGGAGTGATGCCATGTAGGTCAGTCTATGTGAGTCAGTCTATGTGAGTCAGTTCATTATCAGACTTCCGCTGCATAAATGCTCATCCTATATTGGTTGATCTTTGGTTCTGCCCTTACTCATTGAAGTATGTAACAATAACTCTCTACATGCATTTGGACGTTTTCTGGAGCCGGTACCTTCATGCGGGGGACGCTGGGCCCATTTCCCAGCATATAATGAAATCTTCAAATCTTCCTTTTTCTTTATAAAAAAAAATGTCGCACTCGTCTGAATCCTGCTCCAGAAAGCGTCCAAATGCATGTGGAGTGTTGTGTACTAGAGCGAGGCCCTTTGACTCCCTTTCTTTTCACTTTTCTGTATCCTACCTGCGAACAAAAGAGATAAAAGGTCTGGGGGGGGGGGGAGGAAAAAAAAAAAAAAAAAAAGTTAAAAAAACACTCTTTGTAATCCTTTTATATTTGATGTGTCCTACCTGGCATCATATGACAGATCCACCTTCCTGACCAGGTTCCTGTGAGCTGTGATGATGGCATACCTGACAAGAATGGAACATTGCACACACACACATGAGAAGAAAAAACAAACAGGAAAAAAAAAAAAAAAAAAAAAGGACAAGCAGAAGAAAGCTCAAGGGACGGAAAAAAAAAAAGGTGGGGTGTGAAGCATCAAGTGCCATAAAGTGGCATAAACACAAACTGGGCATCAGAAAAGAAACTTATAGAGACCACCAGTACCTTTCTCAGATATCCATGCCAAGCCTAAAATCGCCCTGTGTGGCAAAAGAAAGAAAACGAACCGGTGCGGGACGTCATTTTGGCTGGCGCGGCCAGACTGCCAGGCTGCCCGCCATTCCAGTCCGGTACCCGGACTGTCAAATGTTGCATGTGTATACCGCCGCGGAATTGTTTTTCAAGCGGGGAAAGGTACTGGTGGTTTAATCTTGGGTGAGACAGTGGCGGAGATCCCACTAGCAGCAGGATGGGTCTCCAGTGTGATGTCGTAAACAAATAATCGATTGCCAGTTTTTCAAGCATGCAGAGCAGATGAGCGCCCTTGACAACTGATGAGCAATTTGGCTGGTTCCCTCTTCTACAGAACAGAATGGCCCTGGAAGATGCCTGCATTTGGACGGGAATAGACTGTGTATACGCGGATCATGAGCCTGACGACATGATGATGGGCAGCTTCTTGTTGTTGTTGTTGTTGTTGTTGTCGTTTTAATGATTGGCAGTTTGTTAGAGAGGGACGAAGGTAGTCGAAAATTTCAGCCCAAAAAACAGCCTAGCTCATGGGTGAACAAAAAGGCAAAGGAGGGGCAGGGGGGGAGGAAGTGGGCGCATAAAGCTGTGAGGGCATGGGAGGGTGCCGCATCAAGGGACTGGTTCTGAATACGGTTCTGAATATACCAGAAGTGGCAGAAACCGTTTTCTTCTTGTCTTTGTCCCCTTTCTCCCAGAGTCGGTGAGAGCTGTGAAGAGCAGGCGGACGGGGTTAACCAAGTTTAACCGGCTTTAACCAAGTTTAACAGAGCTGAACCCCGTCTGTCTGCTCTGTTAAACTTGGTTCAAGCCAGTTAAACTCGGTTAACCCCGCTTTTAACCGAGTTTAACCGGCTTTAATCAAGCTTAACAAAGTATCGACTCTATTGACCAACAACATGACCATAGAGTGGCGACAAAGTAGGACAGAACTGGAAGGGGGAGAATTAGAATAGAATGAAGCAAACAGAACCGAGCGCAGGTTCAAACTTCACACCAACCCCAGTATCAGGGCCTGCATGATTGTATGTGCCTGGTAGCCTGATGGGCAGTGATGGCACACACCAGTGCGGGCCAGTTGATTGATTGATTAGTCATGAAATCAAACCCGGTCCGAAAACGCTTTCAATCTTCTGAAAAGGACTGAAGAGTTCTGGACTGTACCCCCTCCCCCCCCCTCCCCCCTGCACCCCATTTTCCCCTTTTCCTGTCATATTAAGCTTAATTAAAGGGAGCGGTGTGTGACCAGTTAGACTCGTATCCATGAGGCTCTCCTCTTCTTATGATAAAAAGAAAAAGGGGAAGAAAGAGAGAGTGAGAGAAGGAAGCAGGAGGAGGAGGAGGAGGAGGTGATGAAGAGGTAGGAATAGGATTGAGGGGAACTTTTTAGGGTGTAACATTAAAATTTAAAATCCTACGCAAAGTCAAGACAAGTAGAAGTGTATGCTCTTACCATCACTTTTTTTTTTTTTTTTTTTTTTTTAACAAACAACCCGATTCGATGCTAGGGGTGCTCGTAAGAGAAGACACCACTGGCATCACCGGGGAGGCTCCATCTATTAGTGGGGAGCAGCACCTGCTGGGAATCGGGTCCAGCGTCCCCCCTGAACATTTGAATGGATTGTTTAGGCAGACGAGTAATTGAAATGACAACAACTTGCAGGATCAACCTGTAGCGACTATACTCTAGCAGGTAGACCTACCCAGTGGCCTAAAAATGATTGCCTGCATGTCAGTTTTTGGGATTGGTGGTAGTATACACTGGCCCCATGGCTACTTCCGGGCAAGCTTAAATCCGGATCGGAGTGGAATTCTGTATCTGTTTCTGTCTTTTGCTCAGCGTACTATTCATCACTTCTATCTGTCGACACAGGTGTTTCTTTTGGGAAAAAAAAAAAAGGAAAAAAAAGAGGTGCTAGTACTGTGCTACACCTTTAGACCACCAGTACTTCCGAGGCACTTTTCTCAGGGGCTGGAAACGCCCTGCGTACCAAAAAAAAGAAAAACGAACCTTCTCGGGCCTCCTTTTGGCTGGCATCGCCAGTGATTTTGCTCCGGAGGCTGATCCTTGAAAGTTGTGGCTGCATGCAAGGTGCATTTTCTTTTTTTTCCATAGTGGGGAAACGTACTGGTGGTTTAAGATGTGTGAAATGAATGAATGAATGAAAGAACTGACAAATTCCACGCAGCACGCGAGGCATGATACAAGCGTAAAAGGCACTGAACACAGACGGGAAAGGGGGCAAATCTCAAAGATGTGCAGGCATACAGCGGAGCCATCACCCAAGGTGGAAGTGATGTGCCGCATGAAGTATGTTCAAGTATCGAAGCGTACACTGTAATCGTGGGCGGAAAGGGAACTCAAAGGATGGTACGATTGATAGTGATGTTCAAGCAGGATTCATAAACACAGACACACACACACACACAATCAGTTGCATGTGTGTATCAGTGTGTGTGTGTGTGTGTGTGTTATAGATTTTCCCCACAACAGCCCCAATTCCACCCAGATGAAGGGATTCAGAATGAAAGCAGTTCTGTTCTATTGCAGACAACGAGAGCATTTGAGATGAGACAGTCACAGTCCAACATATTAAAGCAATTTTATACTTAGACAGGTTTTTGGTTGTCCTCGGGGTACCCCTTCCATTGTTCTTGCAACTCCCCTTTTACTGTGCCTCTTATGTACAAGGCTGCCCATGTTGATTGTGGTTGAGCGGCAGCTGCCCACATCCCTGTGTCCCTTCACGGCCCACTTGCACGTTATTTCAGGAGGCAGAGTAAAAGGGAAGGTATGCTCCTGTGCATTTCTCTTCAGTCCTTCATACTCCTGTTCATTTCACTTCAGATCCTCAGCTTATACAGTCTTTGTGTCCGTCCTTCATCTTCATACTTCCATTCATTTCATTTCTGATCTTCGTAAGTCCAGATATTTAGGAGCGCCAGACCCTCGAGCGCTAACCTGAATTGGGCGGATTCTGGCCAATTTAGCTGATTTCAATTTCGTTCAAAAAATGAAAAAAATGTCCGTTTTCACGAAAATGCAGTTATACCGAACACGACAACAAAGACACATTTTTGTATTAATCCTTTGATAAAATCTAGATTAGTAGATTCTAGATTGTAGCAACGTGGCGAAAACCCCCGAATTTTTGGCCTTCCATTAACCACTAGCTGATGTTATTTCCTTCAAGAAAAGTGGGCCCATTGCCGAGGCTGAAATATAACAGAACCGGGAACCACGCATGGCGTCCCTTACAGTGTGAAACAAAAGGGAGGAGCTCTATTGGAATGAGTGAGGCTCTTCGGGCAGGCTTGAGTCAAGCTCGTAGAGCAATCATGAAACAAATCCAGACAGACGTCTTCAACTACGAGAAGGAGAAAAACTGCTGCGGCAAAATACAAAGGAAAATGAACAGTGAGAAAGAACGAGGAATTTCAAATTTGTAGGGGAATACAAAAAGGTGGTGGAAATTTGGAAAATTCAAAATTGCGACTCTTTCACTCTGAGCGTTTTCTGAACTCTTTCATGAATATCCTTCCTGCTCTCAGCCGAAGCTGGGTAATGGCGCCGGTAGGTAAAAAAAAAAAAAAAAAAAAGAAGGGAAAAACTTCAGAAAAGAAGGAAATGTCACTCCTGCAGCCGGGTAATGGCGCCCGTAGCGGCGG